AGCTTCTGCACAGCAAAAGAGACATTAACCAAAACAGAGAGACACCCCACTGACTGGGAAAAAAATTTTGCAATCCATGCAACTGATCACAAAGATATACAAAGAACTCACATGGCTCAACAAAAACAAAGTACACAATCCAGTCAAGAAATGGGCAGAAGAACTTAAAAGACATTTCTCCAAAGAGTAAATGCAAATGGCCAACAGGCATATGAAAAAATGTTCAACATCCAGGAACATTAGGGAAATGCAAATCAAAACCACATTGAGATACCATCTTACACTAGTAAGAATGGCACGTATCAAAAACAACAAATGTTGGCGAGGATGTGGTGAAAAGGAACTCTCCTACATTGCTGGTGGAAGTGCAAACTTGTCCAACCACTATGGAAAGCTGTCTGGAGGTTCCTCAGTCTACTAAAAATGGAGCTACCATGTGACTAGGCAGTTCCACTCCAAGGGATCTACCCAAAAGACACAAAAACATTAATCCAAAAGAACACCTTTACCCCTATGCTTATTGCAGCATTATTTACAAACAGGCAACACTTGGAAACAACCCAAATGCCCAAACATAGATGATTGGATCAGAAAGATGTGGTATATATACACAATGGAATATTATTCAGCCATCAAAAAAGATAAACTCATGCCATTCACAGCAAGGTGGATGGAGCTAGAAGAAATTATGCTCAGTGAAATAAGCCAGGAAGAAAAAGAAAGATATCGGATAGTTTCACATAGTTTCAGCACTATGTCTTAACCAAGTTAAGACATCAGTGTAAAAAAAATACTAACAGTACAAAATACAACAAAGCAAAAACAGACAATTATAAATCAGAGACATACTGCAGAGGAGGCAGAGGGACAGGAATCAGAGGTAGGAACACAGGGGACTGAGGTTATGGTACACGGGTGCACTGGTGAAGGAAATTCTATGGGGACTACACCTGAGGGGGTGGGAAGCAAATATTGTTTAAAAATGAACAATGTCTTAAAAAATTAAAAAAATTATTAAAAAAGATTAATTTATAACCTATGTTCAAACCAGAGTGAATATGTGAATTATCAGTCTATTTAGGTCTTCTCTATTGAGAAGAAAAACTAGTCTTTGTTCTTGTACAAAACATTCATTCCTTCATACCACATTCCCTTTATACAACCTCTTTGCAAGAAGAAAATAAGCACCAAAACCCTAAGTAGTGCACTGTATGTAATTTAGTTTCATTCAAATCATTTTCTGCAGCTTAACTGATGTGGAACACTGGTTGACAAAGATTACTTTATAAACTCCAAATTTCTAATATTGGGCACATAAAACTCCTGGGAGAAAATCTAAGTGTGGTGAGCTCCTTGACATCTGTCATTGTGATGATTTTTAAATCTCACACCAAAAACAACATCAATTTAAAATGTTCTGAACAGCAAAGGAAACAGAACAACAACAAAAAATGCATACACAAAAGAAAAAGGCAACCTATAAAATGAAGAAACTATTTGTAAATCATATCTGGCAAGGGGTTAATATCCAAAATACAGAAATGACCCTCCCTGGTGGAGCAAGGGGTTAAGACACAGTATTATGAAGCTATCTGCAGCACTAGTTTAATACCCTGCCTGGGAGCTGACCCACGTGGCTCAGAAGACCTCTCCCGTCTCACCCACTGCTCCCCTCAGCAGTGAATTCCAGTCAATCTGTCTGTTCTGCCCCTCACTCTGTCTCTGGTGAATCCTCTCACTCCCGCACCTCTGCCCTGTACCCCAGTTCTTATATGCAAAAATAAATAAATCTTTCAAAAAAAGAATTAAAAAAAATCCTTTGAAAAGCACTCTCAAAATGGTAAATATTAACATTATATGGAAAATCCTGCTAGCATTCCTTTTTCAGAAGTATCTATATTCTATCAATCTCTATCTCAAGGATTATTTCTCTGAAAACCCCTTGATTTCTATGTATTGATAGTTTTCAAATTAGAAGTTTTCCCTTAAGATGTCTAAAAATTAATTTATGACCTTTGTTCACACCAGAGTGAATATGTGAATTATTAGTCTTTTTAATCTCTTCTCTATTGAAAAGAATAGCTAGTCTTTGTTGTATAAAACATTCATTCCTTCATATCCCATTTCCTTCATGTAACATCTTTGCAAGAGGAAAACAAACACTAAAACCCCAAGAAGCGCATTGTATGTAATTTAGTTTCATTCAAATCTTTTTCTATAGTTTAACTCTGATATGGAACACTGCTCGACAAAGGTCACTTTATAAAATCCAAATTTCTAATACTGGGCACACAAAACTCCTAGGAGAAAACCTAAATGTGTCAAGTTCCTTGACATCAGTCACTGTGACAATTTTTAAATCTCACGCACCAAAAACTACATCAAATTAAAACACTCTGAACAGCAAAGGAAACAAAACATAACGGGAAAAAAATCCATAGACAAAAGAAAAAGGCAACCTATGAAATGAAGAAACTATTTGCAAATCATATATCTGGCAAGGGGTTAATATCCAAAATAGAAAGACTTAAATTTTTTTTTTAAGACTTCATACAACTCAACAGGGGAAAAAAACAAAGCAAAAATCCAATACAAAAAAGGAAAGAGGATCTAAATAGATTTCTCCAAAGACATATAGATGGCAAACAGGTAGATGAAAAGGTGTAACACATCTCTAATCACCAGGCAAGTGTTAAGTTAAAAATACAATGGATTATCACTTTACAAGTTTGGATGGCTGTTCTTAAAAAACAAACAAAAAAGGCAGGAAAAAACAAGTGTAAAGAAAATAGCCCTTTGCATACTGCTTAAAAGAATGTTTCAGGTACAGCCACTATGTTTCACAGTATGGAGGTGCCTCAAAAATTTAAAACTAGTAATTGCACTGTCAAAAAGGCAAAAACATTAAGTTGAAAGGACAGGTGCAACCCAATGCTCCATGCAGCATTATTTACAATAGCCAAAACATGCAAGCAACCTTTATTTCCATGGATGGATAAAGAAAATATGATACATATTCACCATGAACTAGGATAAAGAAAATATGATACATATTCACCATGAACTACTACTAAGCCATAAATTAAAAGGAAATCTTTCCACTGTGATAGCACTGACGGACTCTGGGGATCTTATACTAACTGAAATAAGTCAGACAGAAAAACAAATTTCTATGGTCTCACTTATATGTGAATATGAAAGCAAACAAAAACTGAACTCACAGATACAGAGAACAAATTGGTGGGGTTGCCAGAAGTAAGGATGACAGAAAGTGGATGAAATGGGCACAAGTGTCAAAAAGTACAAACTTTCTACTAAAAAACAAAAAGTCCTAAAGATATAATATATCGCATGGTGACTATAGTTAAAATTAAAATAGTGTAATATATATTATATATAATAGATACTAAAAGTTGCGAAGAGTGTAATAATGGATGTTAGACTTACTATGGTGACCAATTTGCAATATTTACAAATTTCAAGTCATTATGTTGTATACCTAAAACTAATATAATGTTATATGTTAATTACATCTCAATTTTTAACAATCTGCTTAACAATGTCCCAAACCTTTAAACATTCGCATTTAAACTTCACAACAAACCTAGCATAAGGACACTGACTTCAATTTATGGATGAGGATACTAAAGCTCAGAAGGGTGATGATGTACATCACACACACACATAAAATTAGGCATCGCTGAATTAAAAAACCCCAACAAAACTAAACTACTTTCTTGACTAATCATGCCTAAACAATGCTTCCAAGAATTTTAATGAAAGAAATTATGTAAAATAACTGATTACCTACAAGATTAAAATAAGAATAGCATTCTTACCTCTGGAGGTTTCATATTCAATACTTTTGTAATTCGGCCCTGAAAATAAAATGTCAAACTTACTATCATGATAATAAATTACAGAAGTAAAACAAAGTCATATATGTTTATCTTCCCTGAATCTGTTGTTTACTAATATAAAACAATCTTTTGGGCATACTTTAGTCTACCTATATGAGATTTTTCTCTGCTTAGATTTGAGACCAAAGGTACTTCATAATTCTAGAATTCCAAAACTTTGCTGTTCATTTTCTTATTTACCAGTAATAGAAATTATATGTTATTAAATGATACAAAGTTAACTCTTACCATATTTCTGAAAACAGGTATCTTAAGATAGAAGCATCTAATTCCAAAAGTTAAGTGTAGACATAAATCTTAATATTACTATTTAACATTTCTTGATTTCTTTAAATGACAGTCCTTCAAAGTAATTTCTAAACATAGTATTTCTGGGTCTCACATAGAATGGTAAAATGTTTCATTTCAATATGCCAGAAAGTCATAAAACGCATTCAATACCAATGAAACAAATAAACAATCCCCCATTCAAAGAACCTGCTACCCAACACTCAGAAAATCATATTTCTAAGGATTCCGATTTCATTTGAAGTAAATTTTCGGCTTTCAAACTGTAATATAGTGAAAATATTTTTACTTTGGTCTCATTAGAAACCTACAGATGATTTTGCTTTGATTCTCTCAAAAGACAGCTGAATGAGGCAAGTGAGATAATGTAAGTACAAAATGACATTAGCCTTTATTTTTCATTTGCACAAACTTCTAAAGAAGAAAACCATTTAAAGTTTATTAAACTTTAAATGGTTTCAAATCTTTATTAAACTTTAAATGGCTTCAAATCTTTATTAAAGATTGAAAGTTTAATAAAGATCTGAAATACTTTAAATAAAAAGATTTAAAGTATAGCTGTAATCCAATACTTTAAAAAAGGACAGTGTGATAATTTTTAGTCTTTACAATGAGCATGTACTGTTCTTGTAACAAAGTAGTCAAGATTATTTCCATACATTCTTCACCATTCAGATGTATACAACATGTTAGAATTTATCAGTACAAATAACTAACCCACATTTCTTAACAGTGCCCAAACACAAGAGTAAATATATTTAAAGGGGAAACAAGCACTTCTTATTGTAATAACTACAAAACAAAAGGTATCAAAACCATAATAAAAGTGAAATGAAATACCTGCATGATGAGAAAGTGTGGGTTGTTAACATTAAGGCCAACAGAACAGAACAGATCCTGTACTCTGGTATTGTTTGCATTTACTCCATTGATTAAATATTTATTTCTGCCACCAATAACCACCTAGAAGGGGAAGTTTTAAGGTATAAATGAAGACACACATATTGAGCTAAGACAATAAATTACCAAATATATTATTTTTTTGGTTCTGCCCAATTAACGGTAAATAAAACCAACCCCAAGTCAATAGTGGAGGAAGTTACATGGCCCAAAATACATGAAATTGATTCAGGACAACTGGCTTCTAATCCAGGGACCTTTCCTAACTATTTAGGTAATCACCTTCAAACTTCCCAACCTCACCTGCATTGGACTAGGTCTCTAGGTCACTTCTAGCTTCACGTTTCCAAGTATATATAAAATTATCTACCCCCGATTATCCTCTTTCTACATTTAGAGGCTAACTAACCCCTCTATCTCTTTAATTTCCAAATGAACAGAAGTCACACACTAAAAACTAAAAGCAAGCAATGTGGTATTAAACATTGACAAGATTCTAAAATTTTTAATAAGACACGTGAGTACTTGAAAGATTAGGGAGGGAGGGACAGGGAGAGGAAGGACTAGAGTCAAAATAAGGGGGAGGGTGCAATTGTATGGGAAATATAATCATAATGAAAATGCACACATTGTGCAAAGATGAAAAATGATGTAAGAATTATATAAAATAAAATATTAAAAAATAAATTTTAAAATATGAAATTAGATTTACTTCAATGTGTGAAACTTAAGGATGGCATTTTGGCTCAATTTACAGGAATAACTGTGTGCATATGTGTTTTGGTATTTTAAATAATACTGGTTTACAATACTGTATGTGATTCAGAGGCATAAGATTACACCTACTCACTCACATGTATATCACTACACTATAATAAGCTTATAATTAGACCGGAAAAAAACAAATTGGGTTACCTCAGAAGATAACAAGATTCCAAGAGCTAGAGTTGATCTAGCACAGATGGAAAATTTAAGTTTGGTTCAAGATTTAAGAATAGTTAAGTGCTTATCCTAGAAGCATTAGTTTTCACATCCCTTTCAATTCTCTTGGCTAATAGTGAAATATTCTTGATCAAAATTTTAACAGAAGAAGGATATTTTTAAGGAATTTTGTTTTACTCAGCAGAGTCATACTGCCAAAAAACACAACAGACACCAATTCTTAAGTATCCAAACATTTAATAACCACTCACCTGCCTTGTTACTGTAATTTCATCATGAACTTCAAATCCTAAAGGACTTTGCTTTTTGTCAGAATTATCAAAAGTGATTGACACTGAGGCTTTGGTAATACCAGCTTGCCCATTTTTGTAAACTAAATCTTGTAAATTAGAGGCACGAACCTAAAATAAAGGAACAGTTTATCAATTACAAAACCCCATACTGCACTAAACATCAGTAAAGATTCTTGCTGTTGGAAAACCACCTATGTGGTACTCATTAAGCAGCTAAAGAAAGGCTGTCACAGTCTCTGGCAAAGCAAGTAAGGAGAAGAGGTAACTATCTGCAATTGGCACCTTTCTCCATTGGATTTCTGAACCCTGAATTGTTTTCCATTTGTTTCTTAACAAACGTTCATTTGAATAACCGCAATGCCTATTCATTCAATTTCAGTAGACTTTAAAAAGACAATATAATGCTGGATTCTGGAATGAGACTGACTTTTAAAGGGAGAATGTGTTAGGTTGAGTGATGCTTCAAACATCTTAAGAGAATGAACCTTCGATAAGTTTCTACTTTCTCACCCCCAAAATGGAGTAATGCTCACCTTTAAAGGACTGCAGTGATGCATGAGATCATAAAGTGAAAAGGGTAAATGAATAGAAAATACTGACAATAATCTCCAAGTTCAAAGAGGATTCCCGTCAAGCTTAAACTGAAGTTTTTCAGAAAGCTTATACTTTACCTGTGACAGATTAGAGATACCCAGCAAAAAGCAGATGGAGTCCAATATGTTGGATTTTCCACTACCATTTAAACCAGTGATGGCATTGAAGAGGGGGTCAAAACCATTGACTTCAGTCCTCTGAGCGTAGGACTTGAATCCTTCAAGAATGATTGACTTAATATGCATTTTTCCTACTGGGCCGGATAAGTCAGTTTCTACTAAGAATCAAACAGGTCACAGGAGTTCTGTACAAAACAGAAACAACACATAAGCGGAATGTAAACCTGGAATGCAAAAGACTAAAACATAAGAATGACGGTTTAATAGAAATAAAATACCCACCTGCCGAGCTATTTATTCGGATATAAAGATACCTTTCTCCATTTTAAAAACAGACAAGTTAGTACTGTAACAGGGAAACTCCCCCTTTCCTGGGGACCACCAGTTAATTAAACCATTAATTCAACCTGGCAGTGAACTACTTAGGCCTCCAGGCTTCTCTTTCCCTGTTACCATATCCCACCTAATACAGACTACTGATTTTTTTTTTTTACTTTCATTCCCTTTTCCATCACATGCTTCTCCCAAATACAGGCAGGCTTACTCTACTGCACTTAGGTCTGCTCAAACGTCATCTTGCTGTGATGCTTCCTGACCGCCCTATATAAAAAGACACCTCTACCCACCCCTCACTGATCTCTATTTCCTTCCTTGCATTAACACACACTAAGATAGGTCTCCCCATTTATAGTGTAAATTCCTCTAGGTTCTTCGCCAACCTCCACAGCTTTATGCAGGGTAAGAGGGATCAGCGAATATTTATTAAATAAATTCCAGATATCCTTCAGTTTCCTGCTTTTACTCACAGCTATTTCCTCGCCTAACCACACCTTTCAGCCAACACTTCTTCGCCCGACTCCAAGGCTGCAGAAAAACTACTTGTCCTGCCTGGAACCCTTGAGGCTAATTCCAGCCTAGGTCACTCCGTGCTTTTCCCCCCCCCCCCACCCCCGACTCCCGCCACAAGTGCCAGGCTAGGCCCAACAGGCCGCGCGCGCACGCACCTGCCTCCCCGCCGCGCCAAGCTGCCCGGGCCTGAGGCTCACAAGAAAGGCCCTGGTCACCGGGGCGGAGAGCCCACAACGCTGCCCAACCCCGGGCGCTAGGAAGCAAATTCCACCATAGCCGCAGCAACACTCGCCCGCGTCCAGAACCAGCGCCGGAACTATTTATTTCTTTGAATTTCGGCGCGAGCAAAGGACCCCACGTCCCTTGCCTGTTTCTTCGGCGGGTGCCTACGAGATGCCTGGCTTACGGGGGTTCCATTTTTCTTTCGTATCGCACAATCAAAGAGACAGGGAGATAGAAAAGAGAGTCGCGACCAAGAAAGCTCCGAGAGTGCCACAGCACGTGCCTGAGGACGAAACAGGCAGGCGGCGAATGTTGAGATCGGCGTCCGGCACATCTCGGACAGCCCGCATCGCAACCGCGGGACCCCGCGCGTCGCAGGCCCCGCCCCGCCCCGGCCCACGTTTTGGAGACCCCGCCTCCTCCAGGGCGGGGCGCCTCCCCCACACCTCCACCCCGCGCTAACTGCTGTGTGTCGGGCGGCGGACCGGACCGAGGCGGGGGCTTCTTTGGAAAGTGTTCTTCTGGGTCAGAAGCCTCAGAATCTCTCGGTGTTGGCTCAGCTTCTCCCAGAATGGAAGCTGCGCTTTGTTGGGGCTTGGGAGGCGCCAGGCTTCTGAGATCTGTGGGTCGCGTTCGGGCTCCGCCCCGCGCAGGCTCTGACCTTGGCGGGCTTTTTCATCTCGTTTCCAAGTGCAGAGGGACGACGGTGCAGCGTTGAGCACTTCTGGGCAAAGGGAAATTGTAGGGGCGGGTAGCGGTGCTGGACAATAGGTGTTCGCCGCACTTCTAAAGAGCCGTAGGCGCAATGGCAGGACATCGGGGAAAGTTTGGAACCGTTAGTA